ACCCATTAGGCTCTGGGGACTTATATACTTTTAATGTTTTTCAAGACACCCAACATTTCCTTTTTCTTAATATTGACATGCCCTAAAATATCAACATCTCCTTCCCTAATCTTAACATCATCCATGCCCTACTATTTGGTGTATACCAATGCAAAGTACTCATTAAGTCCTGTTAGAATTTTATAGGTTTCAGAGATTCACCTGATTCTTCTAAATCCCAGCGAATATAGTCCTAAACGATCCAGTCTGGCTTCATACATAAGTCCTGCCATCCCAGGAATCTGTCTGGTAAATCTTTGTTGCATTCCCTCCACAGCTAGAGTGTCCTTCCTTAGATAAGGGGACCAAAACTGCACACACTGCTCCAGGAGTGATCTCACCAAGGCCTTCTACAATAGTAGCAAGAGATCTTTGCCCCTGTACTTGAATCCTCCCTCTATGAAGACCAATATACTTTGAGCTTTCTTCACTGCCTGCATGTTTACTTTCAGTGACTGGTGTAAACAGACACTCAGGTCTTCTTGCACCTCCCCTGTTCCTCATCTATTGCCATTCAGATAACTCACCTTTCTGATGTTGTTGCCAAAATGGATAGCCTCACATTTGTCCACATTATACTTCATCTGCCATGAATTTGCCCACTTACTCAACTTGTCCAAAGCTCACTGAAGCATCTCTGCATTCTTCTCATACCCCATTCTCCCACCCAGCTGAGTTCAGCACTTTTTTTTCCATGTTTGGACTAAGGTTCTATTGATGTCAGGAACTGTGACTGGTAGAAATCAAACTGAGCATCATTGAATAGGTGATTGCTGAGTAAGTGCTATTTGGTAGAACTGACAATAAAGCTTCTATCACTTTGCTGATGATCAAGCGTGGACTGATCGACCAGTGGTTGTCTGGGTTAGATTTGTGCTGCTTTTTGTCACAAGGGCAACTTTCCACATTGTTGGGCACATGCCAATATTGTGAAACAGTTTGACTTAGGGTGCAGCTAGTTGTGAAACACAAGTCTTCAGTACCATTGCTGGAATGTTGTCTTGATGTCATGTGGACTAAATCGATTTAGCTGAAAACTGGAATATGTGATGCTGGAGACCTCAGGAGGAGGCTGAGATGGATCATCCATTTGACATTTCTTGCCAGAGATGGTAGCAAATGTTTCAACCTTATCTTTTGCAATGATGTGCGGGGATTCTCTATCATAGACGAAAATATTTGTGGAGTTTCTTTCCTTGCTGTTCAGTTAGCCACCAACATTTAGGACTTGATGTGGTAAAACTGTAGAGATTAGATCTGATTGTTTGATTGTAGGGATTGCTTAGGCTGTCTATCACTCATTGTTTCTGCTGTTTGGAATGCAAATAATCCTGGTGTTATAGCTTCACCAGGTTGATGTCTCATGTTTAGGTATGCCTGGTGCTGCTCCTGGTATGCCCTCCTGCACTCTTCATTGAACCAGGGTTGATCCCCTGATTTGGTGTTAGTGATAGAGTGGGTGGTGTGTTGGGCCTTCAGGTTGCAGATCAGCTGCTGATGGCGCACACTATTTCATCAGTGCCCAGTCTTGCCTTGCCAAATCTGTTCAAAATGTAACTCATGATGTAACTCAATGTAACTCAACACAACATGATAGAAGATTTTGACCCCATGAGAACTGTTCTGTGGTCACTTCTGCCAATACTGTCATGGACTGATGCATCTGTAACAGGTAGATTGATGAGGATTAGGTCAACTAGATTTGTCCCTCATGTTGATTCTCTCACTACCTGCAGTAGGCCAGTCTAACAGCTATGTCCTTTAGAGCTTTACTACTTTGATCAGAGGTGGTGCCACTGCACTCTTCGCATAGGGACAGAAACTGGAAAAAGGGAGGTAGAAATCAGCCTTTAAAACAAGGATAACAAAACAAGAACCTACAAGTTTTGATAAATAGGGAACAATTTTCCTTTTTTGATTAAAAGTTGATATGTACCTGTTTGTTTCTGGTTAGCCTATCCTGCACACTTTCTTAAAAGTTCCCCATTTTCAAGGACTTGCCAAGTTCTTTCAAGAAAGTCTGCAATTCCTTCACAATTAGTTAACTCCCAAAGTTGCAAGCACACACATCAATAAACCAGGACTCCAAGCAATCAAGCTATCTTTATTTTAAATAATTAATTTAGCAGCAAGTGTTAAGAAGTATATTCTCCTGTTCCAGTGCTGCTGCTTAGCATTGAGGCGTCCCTTTGTGACTTTATTGTACAATTTCTAAGTGGCTTGACTTTGAGCAGTACCCGGCAGGAATAGTGTTCCTGGAGTATAAGAAACTTGAGATATGTAACATTTCAGGGTATAAAAACTTATTGAGCCTGGCAGCATCTGTGGATAGAAGAGTAGAGTAAACATTTTCAGGTAAGTAAATTATTATTGCAGATCTGATCATTCTAATAAGGCTGTGAGAAGATATTCTGTTGAAAACATCAATTAAAGCATTGCTGATGAAAGTTTTAACTCCTTCAAAGGAGTTACATCTGATGTGACAATACTTATCTCCCAATACATAGGACACCGAGCATGGATATCATGATATTGAAGAATCCAACAGTTTTTTACTAAAACTATTGTCTATAAACATTATATTCATCAGGCACATAAGTGTCTGGGTTAATATTAAGCTGTTAGTTTACAACAGAGGAGCAGTTTTCCACTAGAGTGTCATGCTTCAAGTGATCCAAGATAAGGTGGAGTATGAAACCATTATACCCTCAGGTTACAAGTTATGATACAACAATATTCTGACCATGAGACATAACCCTACAATAATATGGCAGCAACCACTTGGAGGTGTGACTGGGATATTCTAAAGGTTGTGCAGAACCTCTTGTCCTAACTGTTTCTTTTATGGATAGTAGACTCCCCCAATTTATTAACCATCCTTTGGAAGATGTGAAAGCCATCTTCACTGTCTTCATGTGAGACGGATGCTCCTGAATAGTTACTTTTTTAATTAAAGGTTTTGCTCCTGAAATCTAGATCATTAAGTTCCTCATCTGAGGCACTTACTTATCCTCCTGCTATAGTAGAATCACATTATTTCTCTCTTCTACACCCAGGTCCTCATTCTGACAAGTGGCCAGTGACTCACTTCATAACTATTTCTAATTGTTTAATTAATTTCTTAGAAGTGGGTAACTTTGTACTGACACAATGCAGATAAAATGACAGGACGGAGTTCGTGCCAACTTGATTGAAAATCATCTAAGAGGGCATTAGAATGAAGTATTCATTTCCTAGTTTGGACCACTGATATCTCTGCAGGCACCCAACTCTGAATCATGGGGAGAAGAACTGGTGTTAGTGGCTGCCCCAAAGGGATGTTTATGTATCATTATGGACGCTGATGGCTAATGCTTTTAGCAGTTAGACAAATAGTAAGGATTTTTATACCAGAATTGAAATTAAGATCATCAAAGTTTGAAGATATTTAGAAGTGGCCACTGCATCTGGAACCAAAGGTAAATAGGAAGAGATTTCAAATACGTCTTCCTGAAGATAACACATCATCACCAAACTGAAATGTTTTTAAAGACAGTGGCCACTTCTAAATATCTTCAAACCTTGATTATCTTAATTTCAATTCTGGTATAAAAATCCTTGCTCTTTGTGTAACTGCTAAAAGCATTAGCCGTCAGCGTCCATAATGATACATAAACATCCCTTTGGGACAGCCACTAGCATCAGCTCTTCTCCCTGTTAAAAAATTAACTTTTGCAAATTGTTCAATAATGAATTTGCATTCTTGACCATTCAAATCACCTGGCTGCTGGTTTTTAGGTTGTAACCCACGTTCTAATTTTGTTGAATCTTGCAAATTATTTGAGCTATCAGCTAATTACTCATTGTCAAGCAACCACTGTTTATTTAAAACAAACACCAAGAATGCTGGAAAAACTCAGCAAAGCTGGCAGCATCTGTGGAGTGAGGAACAGAGTTAACATTTCAAGTCCAGTATGACTCTTCTTCAAAACTAAGAGTTATTCCAAACTCGAGACGTTAACTCTGTTTCTCTCTTCACAGATGCTGCCATCTGCTGAGTTCTCCAGCATTCTGTTTGTTTGTTTCAGATCTCTAACATCCGTGGTTTTTGCCTTTATTCAACTGTTTATTTAAGACTGTCCTGTAAAATACGTTTAGTCAAAGCAGTTATTTGCAGGACTGTGTTAAATTTCAAGCCACCTATTATAAATTCTACTGGCTTCCTCATGTGAATCTTTCTCTCTTCCTGTCACTTTCCAGTTTCTTTAACCCTTCATTGTTTAGCAGATAAGCAGACAGATTAATTGAAAGACCACGCACATTAGACTTAGGCTTTGATTTTTGGGGAACTGGGTCAGGTTAGGATGGCCTGTGTCACTCATTGCCTATTTTTGTATAGTTTTAAATTGTTTGCTGCATGACTTTTGTGGCTGAAAGTGGAGCCAACCATTTGAAAATTCGGAGGCACTTATCAAAAGGATATGTTGAAAACCTATAACACCGTGCTATTATGTGGCCCACCTGTTGATGTCGACACCTGTGTTATTACAGTGAGTTAGATAATAGAATGTGAACTGGAACTATATAAGCTGTAAGCAGAAAAGAATGTGTAATTTACAAAATTGTTCACTTTATAGTGGAAGTAGAAGCAACAATACAAAAAGATATGGGTATATACAGAAGGAATGAGATTTGTTGGAGTTAGACTATTTGAAAACTTTGGACTGAGTAATAGCTTTCTATTTATTCCTTGAAGATTAAATAGCTGAATGTACCGTCTATGGTCAAGTTAGGTAATTATGGTGTCGAATAGGTTTTGTTTTTGCTATATGTCAATCACTGTCAGAAACGTCATTCGCATATCATTAATCTGCTGTTCGACTGGTGCAGGAAATCTCTTATTATTTATTGAAGAGAATGAGTTACAGCTTTAAAATAATACAAGCAATCTAATGTAATTTTGCATTTCTTTTTTTTACCAGAAACCTGGAATGGATTTGGCAGATGCCTACGTGACCTTTGTGCGCCAAAGTCAGGATATCCTGCGTGACAAGGTCAATGAGGAGATGTATATAGAAAGGTTATTTGATGTAAGTAAATGCCTTCTCCTCCTTGCTAGTCAGGGAGGAGACCATCCAAAATGTGACATTACTAAAGAAAGAGGGATAAGTCACATTTTGAGAAAAATTCAGTGGCTGTTTAGATCTTTTCTGTCCGTCTAACTCAGGCTCTTCTCTATCTTTCTCTGTTCTACTCTGCAATGTAATCTACCATGTATGTTGTGTCAGTGCCTAGTCTGTCTGCATGTGACTTCTGTCACAGTGCTTTCTTATGAGAAAGTTTTATTAGCTCAAGTTCATGAGCAACCTTTGGAAGAGATGGAACAGTACATTCCCTAGTGCACACAAAATGTGTATAATAAAGTAATATTAAAAAAGAGATAGCGGTATTATATCTGTCTTAATTATTAGACACCCACAAAGAAATATACTTTTGTGCTCTTGAGTGTCATAATTATATAGAATAACAATAGTCATGAATTCACAAAGCTCCAAGTTCATGTCAACATTTAATGTACAGTAATTGTACAAAAGTGTACCTTTCACATTTGACATAGACAAATTGTGGCCAAGGTTATTATTTGCTGTGAAAGATTTGAGATAATTTTGACAGAATGATTTATGAAATTTACTGCATTGGTATATTTAATTGGAATACCTGTAGAGTGTTTACTACTTATTTGTCCATCATACCATTTGGTGTATCACTGCTTTCCGTTGTTTTGTGATTTGCAATGTGCACATAGATTTCATTTTTCTAAATGACCATTGTTGCTGCTACTGTCTTTTAGAGTTTGTCTATTTAATAAGATTGTTAGCAATATTTTATAGTAATTAGAGGAATTGGACTGGTAGTGCCCTTTCCATCAAAGTATTATGTAACAGTTTTAAAGTTGTTTACTGTAATGTTTTCTATTGGCCCTGTTCTGGTTGAGGGCTTTGTGTAGTGAGGCAGTTTCATATTATGTTTTCTTACACATATGCTTTTATAACGGCTGTGTCAAATGTCCAGTTTCTGTTCACAAAATTCCTTCCTATCCTTTAGTCCTTTCTAATTGCTTTCCATCTCTACCCTTTCTTTCATCCGCTTTTCAACAATTAAAATGAAACTTATCTCTCATTTCCAGTGTTTTGTCACATTGTATCAAGTGGCACGATTTTCAGTCAAATAATCTTCCTGTGTACATCTACTATCATGACCCACATCTTACAAGAATGTTTCATACATGCATAAAGCACATTACAAATCTCTCAAAGCTCTATGCATGGATGCCTAACAGGGATTTTCAAAGTTGTAAGAAATGGGAAAAATATCACCCATCCAGTAGACATTGGAGACAAGGTCAATCCAACTAAATGACGAACTTCCAAATGTCATTGTACCATGGATTATCACCCAATTTATTATTGAGTAAATACTGACAACCAAGAATTTCAGTGGTGTCAGTTGTTACATTGGTTGATTCTGTCTAATGTCTAATTAACAAGGCATTTTCTCTAATTGAGTTGCAGTAAAGTGCTCAAATGCATTTTTTTTTATTTTTACTTTACTCCTCTATTCCCCAAACCTATTATGTCCCTAACATTGCTGGTTGCCAGGCAACTGGATGGCCTTTAGTTGCATCTTTTCTCATCACCATCATCTGTAGAGCAAAATATCTGGCTGACAAAAGATAAGCATTTTTGGATGGGGATTGTCTTTCTCAGCTTATGATCCTCCCTAATAATGTGTATGAGAGCTTGTGAAAGTCGCCAAAGAAAGGAATTGCACCTCTGAGATTCAAATTAGTAGTCTCCAGTTAAGAGATCTTCTGCAGACGTTTCCAAACCATTACTATTGTAGTTTTTAGTTACTGAATTCGTATAAGATAATTTTGAACTACAAAATACTCTGACCAGTATCACAATCTGCTATCTTTATGATCTGCATTTTGTGTGTAATGAGAACAATGAAATCTGTCAGTTGGTCTTTAAATAGCAAACAATGCTCAGTAATTGTATGATTCTAAGTGGCTATGTAAGGTTTTTAAGGTAACAGACATTTACACGTCTTTCAATCATCTATTTTGTCATAGCTTGCCTGCTAAAACTCAATCATTCAAAATCTCCAGATAAGTTTTGATTGTTGTGTTTTAATGCATTGCATTTGCATGCAACTGTTTTAATAAAAAGAAACCTCCAATTTCTGAAAATCAATATAGCTAAGAGGAAGATATCTATTTTGAACAACTTGTAAAAGCATTTAGAGACATGCAATAATACTGTCAGCCATACTTTTGAGTACTTCCTCTTTAACTTTGAACAATTTTGGAAAATAAAATTATGATTGACAAAAATGAATTAAAAGATGCTCACTGAGCACTATCTTTTCTACAGTGAGCACAACTAAGGGAGACAGCTTTAATATTTTCTTCCTGTACTGTAATTACAATCAAGCTTAGTTAAATTCTATTTAATCTGTAATTTGTGCAAAAGATATTACAGACTACACAATGCTTCTGAGAGTATAAACTTTTGCGCTAAGTACTGATTGAAGCATTGCACCTTGTTTGATGTTTCTAGTTTATAAAGACTATGAGAAAATAATATTCCTGTTATACATATTTTTCTTACAATTTCAAGTCAATGTTAATCAACCAGTTTCAGTTTATGATTTAAAATGGTCTTGTGTAAAAATGTTATTTATTTCCCCCTGGTTATTTTACAAAAAAAACGGTCATATGTCAAAAAACTATGTTATATGTGAAAATGTGAACAAATTCATACAATATTTTTAATATCAAGAAATGCAATTTATTTAGGATTAATTACTTAAATTCATAATTTGTGAATGGACAGAACTGATTTTCTGTGAAAACTGTAACAGTTAATGGAGAAGAACTGAACTATCTCATATTATTGTTACTATAAAATTAAACCAGTTAGGATTTGTAGGTATTAATGCAGCTGAATTCTGAAAACTGTGTGTGTAATTACAGTACAGTGTATTTCTCTTTCATTTTTCACCCACTGCCATTTTCAGTGTTTGTCTTTTGTGACTTACCAACTTTGTTTTCTACATTTTGAAAAAGGATGGATGATGTTAGTTCAGTCATGTACCTAAGAATATTTGAGGTAATCCTTCGGGAGCTTGAATTTTAATTCACTATTCATAAATTCTTTCAAATCATTCCATTTTTTTTGATGAAAGTATATGTTTAAAAGGGTCTCTAAGCAAGTAGTGTGACATTACTGTATACAAATTTCTTGCATAGTACTGTTCAGATATCTGTGCTTTCAGGAGATTATGTGGTTTCTAATATTACTTTCCATGTTCTTTCGTTTAATCTTCTTTTGGGAAGGAAATTAGGTGACCAAGTCAACTTTGGAATTCTGATGCACATCATAATTTCATTTCATCACTATATATAGGGTAACTAAAAATCGCTTGAATACACTGTGCTTTGCTTCAGATGTGGGGACGTTATTTAATTGCTTAAGAAAATAGGAGTTAATGGCGCCTGGTAGAATTGCTCCGAATATATTTCCTTTTTACACATCAAATTTGTTACTTGTTTGAAAGATGTAGATATTAACAGAATATAATTCAGTAAACAGTTATTCCTCCGGTTTCTATACGTTTCAGCATAAGTCAGTATGAAGCTGGAGGTATGGAGGTGATGGAGGCCTTATGATAGTTTTACAAGGTGAGTACACCAGAGGCCGAGGCTACTGCTGTAGGAAGGGGGTTCAAATCCCTTTGTGGTAGCTGGTGGAATTAAATTTGGTAAATCTGCAATTTAAAGCTAATCATCAGGCATGGTGGCCATGACAATTGTCATCAAATGTTATAAAGACCTGTCTGTTCACTTAAGTATTTTAAAGAAGGAAATCTGCCATCCTTACTAAGTCTGGCCTACGCATGACTCTGGACTCCTTAACTGATCTCAGTTCAAGGGCAATTAGGGATCACCAACAAGTGCGGGCATTTGCACACATACTTTGCCCACATCCCATGAAGGAAAGAAAAAGTTAAAGTTTTGGAAAAATAATGCCCACGTAAATTTTATTAATAAAATATCTATATGCATATGTTAAAAAAAAAACACTGATGCTGCAGACTGTGATTTTTGAAGAATTTTCAATCATAGAAAGATAGAGGGATAATTTCAACTTACCAAGTTAGCAAGAGAGAGGTGGGTTTAGGTCCCTCTAATGTCGTACCTGATTTTAGACTCCATTGGCTTCCACATTTGAATACTTAACATAGCAGAAACAGTCCAGATGCAACCTTTGATCTGCTGATTAGAGTGTATTTTGTATTTAAAACCAATTGCCAGGAGGAGGTCCTTAATAAAATATCAATGACAGTAATTATGACCAGCATGCAGTCCTTACATCAAAAGCTATTAAGACACAACTGATGGCAAAATCAGTTGGTTAAAAATCACAGCATATTTCTAAAATTAATTGTCTTATCTTGGTGTGAGTTTTACTGCAAATCACTGTAGCCATAGCATCCATGAGGTTTAGTGTTAGTCCAGCTCTGCACCTTGTTGTCTCAGATTCTCCAGAATCTGCAGTTCCTACTCTCTGTGATCAAACATAAAGTTTTTGATTTGTTTATTAATACCTCATCAGAGATTGCCATTCTCTCTGAGATCAATACTTTATACTTAACAAATTATTCCATACATGACAGTGTCTTTAAACAGTCTTATCAATTACTCCTTGAAAGAACTTTATTTGTTGTACTATTTAGAATGCAATAGTTGGAAAATATGACTTGTTCCGGTGTTTGATAACAGTTTTATGCAGTATTTCAGTATGTTAGGTGCAGTTTATTGGATGAAAATAACATAAGTAGGAAGAGACTTGCATTGAGTGGCATATTACCAACTGTAAAGACTGTAAGTATTACAATTTTGTTAAATATATTATTACTTAATGATCCCTGTATTGAGATATTTAAGCAGTTATAACTTACCACTTGCTGATTTATAACCTAATTACAAAGAAATAAACGCATTAACTATTATGTAATGATTTTT